GTTCTCTACTGTTATTGTTATACATTGAATATAATATGAAATATCTATAAAATATGTCACCAATGATTTACATCATAATAATATTATTTAAAATCTATAACCTCCATATCTCTAAAAATAAATATAATTTCAGCATGTACATCTTTCCACGGCAATTACTCACGAAAATAAAGCGCCACGTCCAAGTTTAATCACAGTTCATAATATCAGTTGACTTGACATTTAGGATGTCGTGCTCACTGACCTGGAAACACCCCCCATGTACAGATTTTAAGGACATTCACTGGCATTTCACCTTACGTGCACCTCTCAAATTTCCTTTGATCTAATCCAAAGAGAGAAAAGAACTCGCCCTCGGGGGACCTGCTTCCACTTTGTTCACTAATCTTGTTTGCTTGATTACACGGAAGTCAAGCGCTTTGTGCAAAGTGCTCATTAGTCCTGAAGTAAACAGCACCCTGTTTCTTTCTGTTTTCCTGTAAACAAACCGAACCTCCAAATGTTCGGAGAGTTGCAAGAGCAGAGGAAAAAACCTTAATCCAGGCTGACAAATTCAAAGTATTTATGTATTTAGAATATCTGGAGTGTATTTATGACTAATAAATTCAACGTTATCACCTACGAAATAAACAAAACCTGCATTCTGCAAAGACTTATTACTCTTTATTTTTTAATTACACCACTTTATTATTCAGTGTCAATATAAAATACAAGATATAACTTAAAAAAAACATAAAAAAATTAAAATGTGTGCTCTTGAAATAACATTATCCAAGAGTCCTACGTTGCAGACTTTTTTCACAATTAATATTTCAGTCATCACACACACAGTGATCATGATAAATACGGTTCAATAAATTATATTAAATGTCAAAGAGGCACTTTTGTAAGGTTGCTGATTTCCATTTGATTGCTCTAAAAATATTTCTTCAGACTGAGACACAGTTAACTAGGAATGTGCACAGTAATTATATAATTTCTACCTCTAAAGGACTCCTGAGCTGCAGTACTTTTACATTTTACATTCACATGAATTACAGTAAATATACAAAAGGACAAGAACATACACGTGAACATGTAAACACAAAACTATACAATCCGTTTATAAAGACAATTACAATTGTCGCAATATATATTCAATATTAAAGAAATAGTTTGATGTTTTCGGAAAAAAAAAACACCTATTTGCTTTCCTGGCAAGAGTGCGATGAGAAGATTGATACCATTCGCAAGTCTGTACGCTAAATATGCTTAGTTTAGCTTAGCACAAAGACATGAAACGAAAGGAAACAGCTAGCCTGGTTCTGAGGTCCATAAACCACCATATTATATCTTGTTTGTTTAATCCGTACGCAAACAGAAGTGTAAAAATGACACACTGTTGTTTTTATGAGGGGGGCTACGTGCTGGAAGCGGTGACTTCCTGGAGCCTCCACTAGTTGCCTGGCAACCTCACAATGACAACAAGACTCCAGGAAGTGACTGCGCCTGGTGAGTCTCGAGTATATCCAACAGCAGCCGCAGCGCAAACATGAAGGCAGTTAAACTTCAACAACAAATGTATTCATTTATTTTGAAGTGAAGTTATTTATTGATTCAAGTTATAAAACATATAAAAACTATAATTTGAGGTTCAAAAATATCAACATTGATGTATAGATATAGTGTTTAGCAGATTAAACACAATTTATACATCAGTGACGCCATCTCTTGTTTCTAATTACTTGATTTGATTGAATAATAACTCAATTACTTATATACTGTATATATACATATTATTCCAATACATGTATCTATTTTATTATCTATTTTATTTTTTCTTGACTGTTTTTTGTCAATTTTGAATTTTAAATTCTCATTATAATAATTGTGCTTTGGCAACACATTAAAGCCAATAAAGCCAATTGAATTGGGGAAAAAATGAAATTATCCTCATTATTTCTGTTTAATAGCTGCTTAAATACCTATATTTGTATTTTTTAAATGATTTTGTTTTCCTAAGCCACCTTTTGTGGTTCTGACTCTGCAGCTGCTTTACTGCTTTCGCTGTTACAAATGATGATAATGTGTGTGGTTTATAGTGTCTGCAAGGTCCCTGTTGAACCTAAACATGTAATTTTTGTTACTTTAGGACAGACCCAGGCTAGCTGTTTCCCTTTGGTTTTAGTCTAACTCTAAATAAGCCTATTCCCCAAACTATTGTAAAACTATTCCTTTACAGTCATTTGACCAAGAAATGTCTGAAAGTGATACCCAACATGAAAAAAATGGCAGCAGTACAGAACGTACACCAGAGTATTAATCTGATGTGCTGTCAGTGTTCAGTGTATCACAGTTTATTCTAGCTGTACAATCTCCAGGGCGGTGTATCATGAGGTTGTGAGCGGATCGCACACGTTATACTTAATTCGCTGTGGTCGGGAGATCCTCTCTGTGTAATGCTGTTGGATAGTGAAGGACTTACTATGACTTATCTCATTATGAAGAGTTTTTTCATCTGCTGTGAGGTTGTGACCCATGTAAACACCGTCACTCAAAGACTCCGACTATGATGATGAGCAAAAGGAGTAAACCTGCTACCACGCACACAGCAAGGAAAAGAAGTTTCTGTAAAAAAGAGAACAAAAGAGGGGTCAGACTGTGTTGCTGGTGAAGAACTGCATTACAAATCCTTCAAAGCTGCACTAGGTAACTTTTATAATGATATATTTTGTCCTGTTTGCTGAAACTTTCATTACATCCTGATAGTTGATCATTGAGTCTTACTGTGACAAAGAGATTATCTGTCTTACACATTACTGTGAGGATCAGTGTTGGACAACTTACCGAAAAATAGTAATTACTTACAGTTCTCTCTAAATAAACTGAAATATTTGACCAATTGTTGCATATAAAAGTAATTAGTTACTGGGGAACTTTTTGCGTTACTTTTAAATGTCTGCTTCAATTCTATTATTAATTTACACAGCTGTCAGACACATTATTTTAATATTGCTGTGGGACACATTTATCTAGTTATTAATACTCCAGACAGGGGCAGCAACAACTAGCGCTCCTACCTGTAAGCTACACTTATTGTCTTTGTTGGTAGTAAGTGTGAGTAACAGAATCTGGATCCATATCTGATCAGCACTGGCTAGTTTGAGCGTTTGATCTGAGTTTGGTGCGTTGAGGACGGACTCACTGAGAATGAGCTGTCAATCACAAGGTTGCCCCGTCCTAAAAGCTAACCTCCTTTAATGGTCTATTTTACTTAAATGGGACATCATTTACTAAATGAACATCAATGCTGTACATGGACGAACGACCTGAAACTAGAGAACTGGAGACTGAGACCAGAAACTCATCAGGAAACTGTTTACTGAGCTCATAAATCAACTGAGAAGTCGGCTCATTTCTCCATAAGACTCAATACTAACTTTTTTTGCAGCCAGTGGAGCTGCCCCCTGCTGGTCATTACGTAGAATGCATATTTAAGAAACGTCCGCGTTGGCTTCACTTTACAGACCTGGAAGCTCTGTCCATTAATTATATAATACTTAGTAAACAGGAGGAGTTGGTAGAAGAACACGGATGTAAACATTAACCGATCTTTGCTACACTAGTTAGACAACAATTATTTACATTTGATGAATGAAAAAAAAGCTCACATAAATAAAATATCAGTAATTGTAATTGTGTTATTTAATTTGAAAATGTAATTAGTTACATTATAGTTATCGCCAAAAGTAGTTGAACTACAGTAACTCATTACTCCACACACTATGGAGGACCCTAACTCTCTTTATTTCCCAAGAAAATGTGAAATAATGAATCACTTTGCCATTTAGTCTATTTATTTATAGATTAATCAATTTGTAAACACATGTATTAATGCTTATTGTTATTGTACAATTAGTTATTAATTTAAACCTCTGAATAAAATGAATGCATTAATTCATGAATGGATGGATGAATGTTTAATGAATGGGAGCTGTGGATGTGGTGTTACCTCGCACTGTAATCGCAGCAGTTCTCATACAGGTGGTTTGGTTAGTCCAACAGACAGGCCAACAATTAGTGCAATGACAGCAAGCAGGATCAACAGAGCAAAGGCGAGGATAATGTATTTCTGCCGAGTGAAGAAGAGGTTGTCATGGTACTTTCAAGCGGTCACATGTGAGAGAAACTTATATATCTTGTACATCTGATATTTTTCATTTTGGGACAATTTAGCAGCACAGAATTAGAAAGGGACACATACCCTCCGGGATTTTTTCTGGTATCTCACTGCTTTCTTGGTCTCCTCCTTTGCACTGCAGATGTATTCGGCTGCGTTGGAGACGTTGTTTTCAATGTTGTTGACCATTTCTCCCTTTAAATGAGAGAATCAGAACACTTTTATAATACTGTTAGACGATCACAGAGTAGATACCGTTAGACACTGACGAATGAGACTAACATTTTATATGTAGAATCATTTTTGTTTTATATTTGACTTGCTTTCTATTTTCCTGTTCTACTGATACCGTGTGTTTTTATTGTTATTGTTTATGTGTGGACCCCAGGAAGACTAGGGACCACTTTGTGGAAGCAAATGGGGATCCAATTTAAAAATAAAGAATAAAGACTTAATTTGTCAGGTTTGTAAGAGGGTGAAAAACTCAAACAAATACAAATCTATTTTAATGTTTTTGGGCCCTTTTTGCCTTTATTTGATAGTACGGGTAGGTACAGGCCGGACTCAAACCAATGGCTGCTGCAGCAAGGATGCCTGGGTGTCCTACCAGGGCGCCCCGTATATACTGTGCAATTTTTGCCAGATATTTTGATTGCAGTACGATTAATGATTAGTGAGAATGATCATTTTTGCATTTTCATTTTCACTGAAAAAAAATATTAAACTTGTAATGATGTGACATTTTTTGGGAGGTCTTTACCAAAAAAACATGTTTTCTTACATCTGGAGAACACGATTTGTAGGCCAGAGCATCTCTGTAGCATGAAAGTACTTAATTATAATACTTTTTGTCCCATTTTACATTTATCAACAAATTTTAGCTTCTGCGATTTGGCCATATTGTGATATTGTGAATAATATTTTGATGAATTGCGCAGCCGTAGTTTCTAACTGCTTAAGAGTAACTTTTACCTTCCAGTTAGATTTAGTTACCTGAGTTTCTACCAGCATTGCCATGTCCATGAACATCGCATGGAGCTCTCTGATGCTCGTCTCCAAGCGTATGATGTCCTGGTGTCGAGACTCGATCTCATTTACAGCCTGACGTGTGATCTGGGAATCCGAAATGATCTGTGGGAGAAAGGGAGAGATAATGTAAAATAAAACAAATGTTCCCAGCTGCCACAGCCTGACAGCACACAACCACACCCCAAAAGATTTACTCCTCCTCCGCCACTAGATGGCACTAACACCTTTTTACCCGGCAATAACGAGACACAGCACAGGAAAGCATGAAGGGAAACTTACATCTGATGTGAAGATTGATGGATTCCCACTTTCTAACATGTTCTCTAGTTCTTCATTGGTGGTCACTCTTCCAGCTAAAATAATAAATAGCAGGCAGTGATTATTTGATTCATCACACAATGAATAAAGACACTTGTGGGAAGGAAACACATGGCGCTGCTGACGTGCTGCTTCCTTTAACTGTTTACCCTCAGCTAGCTCCTAGCACTTAAAGGGACAGTCCTAAGATTTTTTGGTTTTTCAGTATCTGGCTTCAACATATGGACCCTCTCGATCCATTATTGATAATAAAAGTAGTTGTGCCATTTACCCTCCAAACAGAGCAATTTTATTCTCATTAAAAGAAATGTTTTGGGTATTTGGGGTATTACACAACTGGACACTGGCTCTGAATAGTAAAAATTGCTTCATTTTTGTACAGTGGGAGGAAGTGGAGCCATCCACCTTTTAAACAGTTGTCTATGACTTAAAAATTGATTATCTGACACACTCTGTTGTATTTAGGGACTTGTGTTCATCATTCTTGAAGCATACTTTAAAAAGAAAACAATAAAAACATAACTCTGACAGAACTCCCAGAGCAGAGCAGTGAGAGTCAAGACTGAAAACAACAGAAGTCTGTGCTTAGCTCTGGCACAGGGTACACTGCTGTGTGTTTAATCCCAGGATAATACGTTTGTCTGGCAGTGTTGTGAAGCCACTGTGTATAAAGCCTGCTGCGTGAGGAGAAGAAGCCTCATTGTAGCTCTATCGATTGAGCTGACAGAAAAATAATGTGTCTGTTATCCACCCAGGGGACACTGCTGCTAACACAATGCTGACGTCTCCCCAAGTAGTGCGAGATCTATTGTTTAGTCAAACAACAAATTAAAGCCTCATTCCAAATGGGAAAAAACTGGTAATGTGTTTGACAGCGGCACTCTGAGGGTTACTCCAGGAGTCACTGCAACAGTTTGTTGGCGTGTTTTTAAGAGCCAAATAACTGGTGGTTTTCAGGAATTTTGAGTGCTAGTCTCAGTGCAACAGTCGCTAACAATGCAATGCATTTATGAGCGGGCCGCTAATTTAGATAATTTCACGTTTAATTTAAGTCACTTCCTGCTGTGGTTTGCAGCTTATTCGTGGCTCAGTGTTGTATTTTGTGACTATGATTAGAAGTGTCTGAGAAACAAAGGAACCCAGCAGCCCCTCACAGAGAAACAGCTGCTGAAACTCTATCAACAGAAAGCTTGCTTTTCCTGGAGCCATGCCTCCTGTTGCACAACGCCCTCCCTGGGGAGACAGATCTCTGTGCGCGGGTGCTTACTGTATGTCACACACCTTTTCGCGAAGGGAATTCCTCCGAGAGACGGAGCCGAGCACAGAAAAAACACACCTCCCTTTACAACACATCAACACACATCGAGCCTCTGAATGATGTAAATAAAAGGTGTAGGTTCCCGACAGCGCAGGCCGAGGCTCGTGTGGCCGTGTCAAAGACAGGTGAACTACTGTTACACAGGCGCCCGAGCCCTCTGCCCGTATCCCGGGCAACACAAACACAGCGAGCCGTCTCCAGTATCAGGCTCTTCCGTCTGTGGCGAGGAGAACTGGAGCCTCTCATTAATGCTGGCCTGCAGGGACTGTGGGAGACAGTCCTATTTTTTGCCTTGCGCTATCGTCTCGTGTTACTCATATGTGCATAATACAATGCACCTGATACACACCGTCTTTTATGCATCACGTTTGTCGACGTAATTCTCAGCAGAGATGGCCCAACAAAAAATGGGGGGAGGCTTTCTTACCATAAATGAAAACAGCCCAACACATGATCCATTTCTGTAATACTGAAGTTAACTACCCATTTGATGAGGAAAATGGGTTCTATTATATCCCAAGGAAGCGTGGCATTGCTTTTCTGTGTAAACTGAACCAACCCCTTTTGGGTTGGGAATCACTAATAAAGCACACAGAGCACACAAAATGCTTCTATAATGCAGCATTAGCAAAGCCTTTGAGCACTGTCCTATTCAACCAAACTGTGGAACAAAATAAAACAACCCGATTCCAAAAATAGAAATATGATGTCCACATTTTGTATAGATTTATAGTTTTTTCATTTCTACTCATCAGGAGAGAACATTAACCCTATATAGTTACACTGTCTCATTCAGCCTCCTGTCCCAATCCCCCTTAATTCACCCTAATTATTTACAATGTATGTTATGTGTTTTTAATTGTGCTAAATCTCTCATAAAAAGGAAGAGGAGCGAGTTTGGACAGGCAGCTGGTAAACTGTGAATATATATTTAAATAATTAAGTTAATATCATATAGGTGCAACAACTAGTCGACTAGGAAAACCTTCACTCAAAATGTTTAAATATATATAGTGATGTGTATCGTATCACCAGATTCTTGCCAATACACAGCCCTAAAACCCTACAACTACTAGTCACTTAAGTTCCATTAAAACCCACAAAACACTGAAATCTAGTCTTTAGAAGTGATCAGTTGTGACTTTGGTGCAAAAGAGAAGCTTGATATCTTTAAGAAAGGTGAAAACCTCCTATCCTGCTGCCGGTGCCTGTTTATTAACACTGAGGTTGGCGTCCATAGAGGCAGAGAGGAAACCGGTGTCGTCTGTTTCCTGGATCCTGTCCTAACACAGCTTCAGGGTTTCTCTTTTATCTCGCACAAATGTTGAACGTGCAACCAAATTCAACCCACTGATGTGTTTAAAAAAAAGGTGTATTTTATGTATGTAGTAATCTGCCTTGTCCACCTGGCATATTCTTATTTATAAGGCTGTTTTTGGACGGTTTCCTTCTTACTTATTACAAAAAAGTGGCAAAAAGGACTTATTTCCACTAAAGTCTGAACTCAAATGCAAAAAGAATGTGTTTAATGCAGCTCTGAATCAGTGGCAGAATCCCCTAAATCTTCAGGAGGTGGTCTGATTTTAAGCATTTAAAGCGATTCTAAAGATACATCTGTCTGTAGATGTTCTTTGTTTTAGGTTGTTTTATGTTTGTCACTGAAAAAGAGATTGTTTAACCTCAATCAGTCTTTTTCCTGCTTAAATAAATTAATAACTATGAGTCTAAAGCTTTCTTTAGGCTTTTTTTTTTTCAAAGCCTTCTCTATAAATGTGGCACGTGTTTCCTGGCCTCAAGAGGGTCCATTATTTGTCACTTACTTATCTCCAGCTGCCTCTGGATCCTTCCTTTGCTTCTTTCCCGAAAGGACACTTGAGTCTCGTTGTACTGGGTCATGACCTCCACAAACTTCCTGGACAGCACCGTGTGCTGAGGACAAGAGAACGCGAGGACAGAGAGGGTCAATGTGAGCACTTCAGACTGCAGACTTTTTTAGGATTTAATGATCCACAAAGCAGTTCTGTACGACACTGTAAGACACTTATATGGTTGGAATTAAAAGTTAGTTTGAATAGGTATTTGTATGCACGGTACGACATTGTGTCAATAAAACATCTTGTAAAATCGGGAATGTGGCAGGTAAGGTTAGGAATTTGATAGTAAATGATGATTATGCTCCTTATCTGTCTATACTGCCCTACAAAGGCAAACCTCAGTCACTGCAATTTATAGTTAAGAAATTAAGTGATGACTGAAATTTAACTTTTAAATGTTTTAAGTTATTTTTAAGTTCAATCTTGCTCTATTTTAGAGAAAAAAATATGTAAAACTGCAGTAACTATAACGAATAATAACTATAATAGTTCGGATATTACAGTGCTAACGCTAGCTAGCTAGAGAGGAAATGATGTTACTGTGCTAATTCATTCTTAATTACTCATGTATTTCAACTTTTTACACACAAAACAATAAGAAATATGGATTTAATGTAACTTTCTCAGGAAGAAGACACTCAGACTGTAGTGTAGCGCTCTGGCTCTATATATCGGTTTATGCTAATACAAAGATAGAGTGCAGTATCTACATTTTTGGGCTCATAGATCAAATAATTGGTAATAATTTTAAGCCATGAGAATACATATTTAATAGGCACAAAAAACTTTTGGCTTGCAAGTCATAAAACTTGCCGCCATTTCTCAATTTTTGGTGGTGCTAAATGCTAAAAACTGCTAAATCTATCCAAAATCCCTATCCCCGTTCCCCTCCTGGTGTTTGTGCACAGCCTACAGATGGCTGATGATGGTCTTGTTTCCTGACCTGTGTTTTCTGGATCCTGAAGTCAACAGAGGATCTGTTCGCTACATCATCTTTGGGCATGCTCTGCTCCATGGCTTCAGAGGGAGAGACACAAACTTTCAAACAACAGCAGCTTTTGTACGGCGCAGTCAATAAAATGTGACAATCGCGTCACGGTTCCACTCACATTTAAGTTTAGTTCGCACCACGTTGGCATTCCCTTTAATGTCGTTGGTCAGCATATCCAGTTGATGCTTTGTTCCTTTAAACAAAAGAAATAGGAAACACGTCAGATTTGGTTTGCTGATGAAGAAAAATAAAGACTCTCTCTCTCATGTAAATATTGGATTTACACTGATTTCATCTTGTAACTTGGCAACAACCCCAAGGCAATATTGCGGAGGTCACACAGCACAAAGCCCTTTGTTTTCTTTCCCTGGTGGCAATTTCCACGTCATGGATCTTAAAACACCGTAGCCTACTGTGTTACATTGGACATAATCACTGATGATGATGCCATGGCTCTATAAACTGCCTCTTTGTCTCAGCTCAGACACTGAACAAAGCCAGGAACCGAGCACATCTTTAAATCCATGGTTTATAAAGGTTTCAGCAGGTTCAGTTTAAGACTTTTTAAGACCACTGTAAATGTAATTCCACTGCAAAAACAGCCAGACAAACCAAATCTTAATTTTTTTTTTAAATTGTATTGAGCAAAAACAATGCCAGTTTTGCTTGGCTAGGACTCTTAAAGCTAGCATAAAAATCTAGCTACTTAAAGACTGTAATGGGCCTTAAAACTAGACCTATGGTCAGGCCCAAAAAATCTGACCTGAGCCCAGGAAAATTCTGTGCATGCCTGAACCATGGAAGCAGTTTTGGGCCCAAACGTAACTTTGAATTTCCGCTTAAAATAAATAAACAAATAATTGAAATAGTTTATTACAAGATAAACTACATTGTGCTTATAATTAATAACAAATTAAGTCTTTATTACAGTTGCATTCATTATTAATAAAATATGAAATATATATTTAAAAAACGATAAATTATGCTGTCTGAGCCCAACCAGAACCCAATCTATGGCTGCAGTTTCGGTCCCTGAACCCAGCGGGTCGTGTCGGGTCCCATCGGGTTCGGGCGGAGAATCAAAGATCTACTGAAAACTAGAAAAACTGACCAAGATTTAAGCATGTTGTGCTTATTACAAGCAATGAAAACTCAGTTATTTAAGATGATTAAAATAAGTATTTTGGTCACTTTATTGAACTGAAATTAAATTACCTTAATCTAAGGTGAATAATTAGCAACAAAATCTTACAATAAGATACAATTTCTAAAAAAAACAGCATAATAAAAATACTTCATCTTAATCTTCAATTACAGCACCAGAAGCCTTTTATTATTAAAACAATGAAAAACTAAACAACTGCTTCATTTCCAACACTAAACGACTTTCTCTTAAACTGAGCTGTTATTTTCATGCGAGTGGTTTTGCTCTCAAAATAAGAACAACAATCTTGTTCCTCTGCTGGGATATTATGCAACCGCTGTTGCTACTAGTTAAATCGAGTTCAATATTAGTTGGAATATCTTATTAAGACACAGTTCTTATCTTACTTTTCAGATGGAAAACATGCTTGACAAGACTCATTACAGTACTCACTAGAAACAAGGCTTTTTTACTCTCTTGAGATTCCTTTTTTGCAGTGTTAAGACTTATTTCAGGTCCATACTGGCAAAAAAAAGTAGGATATGAAGGAAAATCGGTACTGGTTCCATGTCAGTTTTGTTTTGCAGTTGTTGCAGCAACGTTTCCGCAAAACACATTTAAAAGTGAGACTGACTTTATGTTACACACCAGAGCCTGCAAACATCTGCCAATGACAGCATGTTTGACTGTTGAAAGGCTCCTAACAGGACAAGTCAGAGCACAAATTACAATGGTTTGTGACGGTTTGGGGGCAAATCAAAGCCGTTTCCTTCACAGGTTTCCGGCATTCATTGAAAATGAGGAGGAAAATGTAACAAAGGAAGTGAGACCTTTGTTGTATTTTCACACAGGAGTCAAACTCCAGTTCTCTAAGTTCTCAAAATGACTGAATGCACAAATGAACCCCTGAGAACTACAGGCATGTCTGACTGGAAGGTCCAAAAACTGGGTATTTTATAACAGCTAAATATGGAAAACCTTTCAAATTATGTTGGGGGTTAGGGGTTGTGGCCACCAAGTAGAATCTTTTTTATACAAATTAATCTTCGACCCAAAATCAAATGGTGAAAAACAAAACGTATTTATTAAGGACTTTAAAGCTTTTTTGTACCAATATTTTTTTTTTGTTAAAGCTTTCACTACATACTGATTGTAGTAAATGAGACAGATAATCTGTGTAAAAAATCAGGTTCTTCTGGCTCCTCCGAGTGATCCTAACGGCATTAGAAAGAATCCACCGGGCCCGAACGAAAGCAACCAATCAGGGCAGAGAAAGACAGCTGATGGTGAGTCTCATTCCCATGGTGTCAAATACAGACGCTGTGAGACTCTGGAAATTGGTGGTGGTCTTGCAAATGCTTTTAGGAGCACTCGGAGGAGCCAGAGGAACCCAATTTTTACTACAGTCAGGATGTAGTGAAAGCTTCAGCAAATATGATTTATTTATTTATTTATTTTTATAAAAGTTACTAAAGCTTTAATAGCCAAAGAAATGACTACAATCCCATAACAGCAACTCCAAAACGTCCACTTTCCCTCAAACGCTGTCCCTCCATTGACATTTTTAAGACAAAACTCAAGAGATACATGTTTTCTATGGCTTTTGGTTGCTATTAGTGGATTTTATATTTTATATCTTTTTATATTGTTCTTACATTTGTGCACATATCTGTCATTTGCCTTATATTTATTTTTTTGCCATTTTGGTCAACTCTGGTGGTTTAAATGTGCTATATAAATAAACTTGATTTTGATTTGATATAGAGAGCCGATATAAAACAATGGAGTCGTCTGTTATGAAGTTGAAAACTGACATTTTTATGGATATATGGATACGAACATTGTCCAAAAAAAAGAGATAAAACATAGGAAATAACTTTGTCTCCTGTGTTTTTCTCAATGATTTTATTGTTTGTTTATTGTTCTCTTCAGTTATATGAGGTTTATTGTTTTATAATGGACAAAAAGGACCTGTATTTGGAAATATCACATTTCCCTGCAACAAGTTTATGGATCTGTATCCAGATTTGTATTTGATATCATATAAAATCTATTAAAGTAAAATAAAAACTTATCACCACGTTGGATAAAACTGCCTTTTTCTGCATTTATTCCAGTGTTACTTTTGTTATTCACATGTCTATTTAATGAAATCCACATGTAAAGATAAGTAAGACTTAATTGTATGACAAATAAAAAGTTCAAAAGAAGACGACCACACTCTGTCACACTTACTGTCGTCCGGGTTGGGTGCAGACAGGATCATGCTGTGCATCTTCCTCACCTCCTCCACTTGGTAGGAGATCTTATCAATGAGTCCCCGAACTTCTTCCACCTACATCCACAAAAAAAAAAAAAACACACACACATCAGTGTCTTTGAATGTTCCCCTAACCTGCGCACAGTCCTGCAGTGACACCCACCCTTCTGAAAAAGCCCTCCATGAAGCCATCTCGGTCCACCGTCACTGCAACATCCTCCTCTGCGTGCGTCCTGCTCTGTACGGATGAAAAATAACGTCTTTGAGTTTACCTGGCGAGGTATAAACAGTCAGAAGTTATAGACAAACACACTTACAACAGTCAGCTCAGCCAGTCGATCCTTCATCACACTGATCGGCTCGTGTCCTGCCAGGATATAATTCTAGTAAAAGAGCCGCTGGGTCATCCTGTAAGTCTCCATGTGCAGACTGACACTGAGCCACCTTACTGTGGACGCAGCAGGCCTACATCAACAGCGGTGGTTTAGACTATGGAAAACAGGACTAAAAGTTTAAATTCAAATCTAAACTGAGTCTAAAATGAAGCTTTAAAAAGTAAAAGCTCTACAAAATAAAAGTCTAACGCGGCTGTGTCGATATTTCCCAACGCGTAAAGGATCAGTAACAGGTCCACAATATCACTTTCCTCGGGAAACGCCTTTTCTCCCACCTCTCCTCCTCCTCCTCTCTCTCTCCGCCTCAGGGGGGAGAAACTAGTCTACCCTCAATTAAATTTGATCGGACCATTGTGCTAAACAAAATAAATCCTATTAGATTTTTGGAAGACAAAGATAAGATTATATTACATCCGTTAAACAGTTGCTGCCACAGTGATTTTATTTACCAGGTGATGAATTTAAGGTTGACAGCAAACGCACCACCAGGCAGTTATACGAGAAGGTTTAATGAATAATAGACTGCTGGGTGGCCACTAAACTGTAGGTTATTTGGCCACACGGTGGCGCTGTTTACCTGGATATGTGTGCAAGAGGAGCTTGGAAGCCTGTAACGGGACTAGAAGGGCTCCAGGTAGCTCCCCCACCTGAAGCTGTCCTCCAAACGGTCAGAAACAGTAACACAAGCCTCATTTAACGCGTATTCTTTGGATATTCCTGCATGCAGATGAGTCTGATTCAGTAAATTAATTAATTAATCAGGTCATAAAAAGTTATAATTAGTGATCCAGATACTGTAACTGTGAGTTCTGGGTCTGCCTGCCTTTCAGTAACCATCCATCCTGCACACCATCCCTGTCGTTCCCAGAGAGTCCGGGGTGTTGTCCTGTAATTTAACCCAAAATCCAAACTAAAAGTCATGAGACCAAAAATGTTTAACACGAGATGTTTTTTCCTTTTTTTTTTTTTTAAATCTAAACAGCATTTGGACCGCACGATACCGATCCAGATCTCATTCATTCCCCGCGCAATCTCCAATTACGCACAAATAATGCCATTTACGCACAGCCCTGACGCCCCTCCTCAGAAGATCCAAAAAATGACATCACGTTTTGCAATTCCCACGTTCAGTCCAGCGAGCCCAGTACGCGTCCACGCAGCTCCTCTACCCTCCTTGCAGTTTCCAGATGCACCCACAGAAACTCAAGGACTAGCTCCATGCAGGAATAAAGTTCACGGATTACAGTTTTCTTGCGTGGAAGCGCAGATTTGTACCATGAAAGAGCAACTTCTGAAGTTTTTCTGCCTCATGCCAGAACACTGAATTGATTCTTTTTTTAAATTATTCTTTTATTATTATTATTATT